TCCAGGTATTCAGAGCTGTAGGACTGCCCAAGAAGGTATTGGGCCCAGCTCAAAGACAGAAAGTAGGTTTCTAGCACTTATTGATCGTAGCCTTTATGGTGGGCCCCAGGGTAGGCCATTGACAAACATCACTTTGTTGAATCTTTAAAATAATCCCATACAATAGCCATACTATATAAAGAGGCATGGAGGTATGGAATGGAGAAAGGAAACTGAGACACAAAAAAAGAGAAAGAATATGAGTACGTGCAGTATGAAAAGAAGAATGTCGACTATCAGAAGCAAATCTCATACAGAATTAAAATTAAATCTTAAAGGGCAAATGAAACTGAACTGAGTACCATCTAAGTGCTTGGCATTGTACCAAGCACTCAGAATATAAAGTAGGAAAAACAAGTAACGTTTGTATAAAAAGATGGATATGGATTTGAATTCCAACTCCTTTAAAAACTAGCTAATGACCTCAGGCACATTGCTTAACATCAAATTTCTTAGGCTCAGATTCTTCATCTGTAAAATTGAGACAGCAATACCGCCTCCGAAGCTTGTTACGAGAATAAAAGCAAATAACATACAGTTAAAAGAGTGTGTGACACATAGCAAATACTGAAAAAATTGTGGCTGGTATCAAAATTCTGGTAGATTAATATGTTTAAAATGAGATAATGTTTTAAAATGGCAAAGGTATCTATCTACTTTATGCAAATATTTGATTCACAAAGTTATCAAACAGAGAAAACAAACAGAAATCATTTCATTTGTCTCTATTTCATTGATCTTGCTCGACCTTACACAGACAAAATATTAGATGCAGAAGACAGATTCTCACTTGGGTCTTTATAAGTCTTTACTCTTACCAAGATTCTACATAAAGACATAGCCATATTCTTGAATAAATCATGAGATTAGAAGAATTCACAAGACAGCACAGATCATTATTCAATAAATTCCTTCCCTTTGGGACAAGTACTGCATATATCAGCTATATCCCTGAAGACATCCCTCTCATAAAACTCTTAATAATAATTGCCCATGACTGACTATACCAGCAAAGAAGCCAAATGAAATGCAAAGATTGTTTTGCAATTTCTTGCATCGATGCACCAGAATCTTTTAGAAGCTAGAAACCAAAGAGTAAAAAGCAGTTTCTTCCATCTAGCAAGAATTCCTTTTTGAGCTCCTTTTGCCTAGTTCAATATCAAAGAGATTAGGGGTTGAGATGGTAAAATACTGCCATGAACTAAACTCTTATCAAAACACTCTCTCTCCATCCTTCCACCATAGCAAATAAAAAATCACATGCAAGTTATCTTTTTAAACCACAAATGTTCGTAACAATTTGAGCCACATAGTGCACTTTGCTCCTGGAGTGATGGCCATTTTTACTAGAGTATGCTCACCTCTCTTCCCTACAGAAATTTTGAGTACAAAATATATAACTCAGAATTTCACAGACAGCATCAGAGGGCATCTAACGATGCACGGCATTTCCTATTTATTGAGTAATATTCCCGAAAAGGTAACCTTCTGGACTTGAATCTCAATGAAGTTCAAACAAATGAGTTTTAAATGAGAAAAAGCCTGAAGCTTATGATAAAAAATTCTGACGGAAGACTAAATATAAAATAGAATGGCACCATAACCTCATGAAACATTCCCTAAATACTTGTTAAATAGAAAGGAGAAGTTTAGAAGGGAAAGGTAATTTAAATGTAACTAACACCTTTTATGGGCTACATTATTCTATTTAATTATCATAATTAATAATAATTATCGTAATTAATAATCCTATGGAGTAATTTTTGCTCATCTTTATTTTACAGAAAGGGAAAACTGAGGACAAAAAGACCGACTAGTTTTCCCAATCCTACACAGATAAACTATTAGAGGCAAAACAGGGATTCTGATTTTTGTAAATTTTCACTTTTACATAGATTTTACATAAAGAAAAGGCCCTATTCTTGATCAAATCACAAGGCTAGAGGAATTCACAAATTAAATCCTATATATTCAGTTATTTTTTCTTTTTGTGTCATTTTTGCACAAATTGGGTAAATGATTAACAAGAGAATATATGGGGCATAAGACCTACTCTGAATTTCCAAGTCCTTGGTCACAAATAAGAAGATCTCAAATGAAAGTCGGATTTGGGTTCTAGTGTCACTTCTGCACTAATTCTGCTTAGGGGACTTTACGTTAGGCCTCTTGCTTGAACTTGTAAAATTTGATAAAAATTTTGTAAATTTATAAAAAGAGAATTTGTAAAAGAGAGGGTTCACTTAGATAAGGAAGCAGTGGGCTAGAGCAGTTTTGTCTTAAGAGCATTTATCCAAACAAACTCAGAGACCCAGGACCAAATCCTCCCCAACTAGTTATTAGTAATGAAGCCTAAGAAAAGTTACTTCCTGTCTATAAGTCTCGGTTTCCTCCTTTAGACAATAAAGATGACAGTAAAGATGAGCTCACAGTATTGTTGTGGGGATTAAATGAGAAAATTATAAAAGTTTTTAAGGAGAGTCCCCCATAGATAGTGTTCACTCAGTAAATGTTAGCTAATACTTTGGAATGGAATCTACACTCTATTTCAATTCGGGGACTTCTGCCAAGTCTATACTTGGTGCACTTACTCATTACGGTCGAGTTTTCCAGAAGAAATAAAAGTAAGCCAGTGACTCTGAAGCTTTGATTGGGTCTACCTCACCATTAATCACTCTGGTTTCACTAGCTGTCTTAGAATAGAAGCACTTTCCGGAGAAGAAATAAATGGCAAGGTAGACAGAAAAAAGATCTGTAAAAGAGGTAAAAGCAGCAGCTTTACCTGTAAGTGAAGGTGCTGGAGTTATCTTGCAACAAGGATTGAAGGCAGGCTAGGTGTGAAAGTGTGATAGTAAAAATATATTAGGTGAAGGTGTTACTAAAGAATTAGCACAAATACCAGAGAAAATGACAGCTCTCTTTGGTGAACTGAGAATGACCTGGCTCTTTGGAAGAGAATTTAAAATATGCAGTAAATACTTTTGAATGTTAAAAATAGCTCAAAAATGAGAGGCAGGCTATCCAGCACACCACGGGTCATATCTGGTCATCAGAAACTCATTTGAATTAGGAAGGATAAAAGGACATCTTTCCTTCTGTCCACTTTCTGTGTGAGGCTCTGCACTCTCCCAGAACCCGATGTTTCTTTCATAACCATCCCCAAATTATAGTCTTTTAATGATTACTATTTTTCTCAGAATAATGTAAATGCCATGAGGTCCAGGATCGTGCCTCCTTTCATTCTTATCAGCCTGAATTGGCATTTTCATTTATATAAGCACTTTTCTTAAAAGTATCCCGTGTTAAAAATCGCATCAATTCTCAGTTGTCTAACTTAAGAAGAGGCACCGCATACAGAACTGACAAAAGCCCACAGTATATACATATAAATATATTCCTTTTTATCTTACCTTAGATAAATGCCAGAAAATCCCCTCTTGCCTCTTTGAAATCAAATCTCCCAAAATGCAGAGGCAACCACTCTCTGATTTCTAGCAGCATACATTAGTTCTGCCTCACATTGAATCTCACATAATAAAATCGTACAATATGTACTCAGGGTCCTCAGATCACACTTTGAGAACTACTGGGGTAGATGTATGAATATCTTTATAAGACTTCCCCAAAGGGCTAACAAAGTTCGTATACATTTTTCATTTCCATTTGCAATTTATAAGTGTTACAATTTTCCACATTCTTGCCAGAATTAGATGTTGCCAGTGTTTTTTATTTTACTTCTTCTAGTGAGTGCAGAATGGCATTTCTTTGTGCTTTTAATTAGTATTGCTCTAATGACTAATGATGCAGAGCACATTTTCATGAGTTTAATGGCTGTATCTCCTTTTTCATAAAATGTTTATTCAAGTTTTTGCATGTTTATTTTTAAAGTTGGGTTGTATTTTTTTTTTATTATTGACTTGCATGAGGTTTTAAAAATATATTCTCAATATAATTTTTGGTTTTTTTTTGGCCACTCTGCACAGCTTGCAGGATCTCAATTCCCTGACCAGGAATTGAACCTGGGCCATGGCAGGAAAGCGCCAAATCCTAACCATTAGACCACCAGGGAACTCCCTGGATATAATCTTTTATAAAAATATGTATTGAAAATATTTTCTTCCAGTCTGATTAGGCTGTTCATTTTCTTAATACTGCCTTTTGGTAAGCAGAACATTTTAATTTTTATAAAGTAAAATTTATTTTTTCCTCTTACGCTTGTACTTTTCATATCCTGATTATAAATGCTTTGCCTTTCTGAAGGTTATAAAGATTATCTTCTGTGTTGTCTTCTAGAATCTTTACGGTTTTAACTTTCATGTTAAGTCTATGATTCATTTAAAATTACTGTCTGTATATGAAGTTAGGTAGGGGTTGATTATTTTTCCCCCTTTTAAATATTCAGGTGGTCTAGCATAATTTGCTGGAAAAATTTTTTTTACTCATTGCATTAATTTGTTGCCTTTCTTGAAAATCAAAGTATTTTACTGTATGTCTCTGAACTCTTGAGAATATGAACTTTTAAATAACAAAATAAAATTTCAATCCTTCGATCCACATTGGTTAGTTGTATTAACTTGAATGAGTGGCCTCATCTATAAAATAGGAATAATAGTAGCACATCTACTTCACAGAATAGTGGTGAATATTTAGTAACATTATTCTTGTCAACTGCTTAACCCAAGAACTGGAAAATATTAATCTCATTTTTATTATGACTTCACTACTATTATTACCACCATTACTATCACACCATCTTTACTACAGACAACATTGGCAAGCCATTTAGATAAAAGGAATGCAGAGGTTAAAGATAAGAATAAAGAGATTTATCATGCTGTGTTTAAAAGAACAGTAGCAAGAACAATGCCTTTTAGAATATAAGTCCCAATTATAATATTGTTCCAATGGAAAAATAAAATTTACTTTATAGAAAGCCTGTTGCATAGTTTCCAGATAAAACATACCTCAGATGAAGATTTGGGCCATAATCTGTATCTTCTTAGCATAGATATTTTGCAGAGAAATATAGCCCCATTGCCTTTTGCTTTGACCAGGTAATACAAGTTTTGATTTAAAACTTCCTGGAATAAAAGACATGTTGATAATCTGGTTGTTGAGAGTTCAGAATTGATATGGTGTTACATTTTTATTATCTTGGACTTGGACAATCAACTTTTTTTTTTTTTTTTTTTTTGCGGTACGCGGGCCTCTCACTGTTGTGGCCTCTCCCGTTGCGGAGCACAGGCTCCGGATACGCAGGCTCAGTGGCCACGGCTCACGGGCCCAGCCGCTCCAGGGCATGTGGGATCCTCCAGGACCAGGGCACGAACCCATGTCCCCTGCATCGGCAGGCGGACTCTCAACCACTGTGCCACCAGGGAAGCCTGGACAGTCATCCTGATCTAACATTTTCATGCACACCAACGCTTGGTTTTCTTGAAAGAGGTACATCCCCAAAGAATTTTTAAATAGAAGAAGCACTGAAGCTTTGTATCCTCTTCTTATTTTTCAGAGGAGAAACTGAGACTAGTAAGGTTAAATGACCACTCTTGAATCTCAATTAATGATATCCATTATTACTGTCTCTATAACTACTTAGCATAACCATCACCATTACGATGATAGTATTAATACTAGCATGGCTAACTCCATTATTACTGACCCCAGGCTCTATGAATGACAACACTACTTTAAATTAATAGTTTTTATTATACATCTACATACTCTGTTATTACTTTCATAGAATATTTTACTTCAGATGAGGTCTATTCTGCTATTAGGTCATTAGCCATGTGGAGGCACTAAATATACCAAATTTAGATACTCAAAGGTGTTCTCCCCAGTAATCATTCAGTCCTCTGCTCCCTACACAGTCTTTCTAACCTCTCCCTGGGACTAATTACAAATGACCCTCAATTAAAAGCTTGGTTCATGGCTTCCCTGGTGGCGCAGTGGTTGAGAGTCCGCCTGCCGATGCAAGGGACACGGGTTCGTGCCCCGGTTCGGGAAGATCCCACATGTCGGGGAGCGGCTGGGCCCATGAGCCATGGCCGCTGGGCCTGCATGTCCGGAGCCTGTGCTCTGCAACGGGAGAGGCCACAACAGTGAGAGGCCCGCGTACCACAGAAAAAAAAAAGCTTGGCTCAAAAACTTTTTTACAGTTTATTGTATTATAAATAAGTAGTCTCTCCCCATTGTATTAGTTTCCTAGGCTGCCATAACAAATTACCGCAGATTTGGTGCCTTAAAATAACAGAAATTTATTCTCTCATAGTTCTGGAGACGAGAAGTCCAAATCAAAGGGTCAGCAAGGCTGAATTTCCTCTGAAAGCATTAGGAGAGGACACTTCCTTGCCTCCTCCAGCTTCCGGTGTCTCCAGGCATTCCTTGACCTGTGGCAGCATAACTCTCATCTCTTGTGTGTCTTCATGTGGCCTTTTCCATCTATGTATGTCTCTTCTTCTTATGACACTTGTCATTGGCTTTAGGGCCCACTCAATTAATCCAAGATGATCTCATCACAAGATCCTTCACTTAATTATATCTCTAAAGACCATTTTTCTTGATAAGGTCACATTGACAGATACCAGAGGTTGGAATTCGGACATATCGTTTGGGGATCCAAGTTCAACCCATGATACCATTGATGAACCAAATGTATGTGTGCTTGTGCCTAACGACTACCAACATCTCTGCATCAAGACACCTGATAACTGAGGGGTGAGCTGTAATTCAACTGATTCTTACTGAAATGGAAGAACATGGGATGATTAAAGAGAAAAAAAAAGTAGCACTTGAAAAATTTCCTCCGTCAGCAAAATTACTGTTGCAATATTTTTTGGCCCTACATACATGCAGAAATAATAAGACTTTCAAGGAAAATGAGATGAATTTTAAATATAATCCAAATATACTTAGAGCAATGAACAACACCTTTTCTTCCTATAGATCAGTTAATCAGGAAGTGAAGAGTCTTCAACAAACATGCTGAGTCTTATGCTGCAAAAAAGCTTTTCTGGTCTAGCCCAGAAAAGAAACAAACCCTTCCAAAGGGAATATTTACAATGAAGTCTGAATACTGCCTTATGTTTACTTACATCATAAATGTTAATAAAACTGCATATTATTTTTCATGTGTTGTGATGGATTATGGTGTTTATATGGCATGAACAGATGTCCCAGGAAAGAAGTCCCAGTTTATAATGTTGTACCTAGGGGAAATAAGAGTCAACTATTATCCACAACCAATTAGAAAATAAATTTTTAGGGGCCTGTACCTCACTCTGTAGTAAAATAAAATATGTCCATTTCCACTAGTCAGAGCACATAGGTGAGTTCTCAATTTTTAGTACATTTAATTGATATTCCCGTTTCCAGAGCTTTTCATTAAATGAGGAAAAAAAACATGTTCATCTAATGTGCAACAAATGCCTTTGGTTCCAGCTTTGATAAAATCATTATTCATTCTCCCACCGATCCTTAGCTCACAAAGTTCTCTTCTGTCCATAGAATATGTCCACATACTTCTAACCTTTCAGGATCCCAATGATTCTTCCAGGACCAATTCACCTTGGGAAGCCTTTCTGTGAAGCTCTTCTATTTTGACCCCTCCTCTCACCAATGAGTTTCCTTTCTTCTCAACTTCCAGCAACTTCCATTGATATTTTTGAACCAAAACAAAGAAAACAAACACATTTATTGACTATTGGCTGTATTCAAAGAAGTCTGTAGTATAAACGTGAATACAATTTTAGTTTTATCTCCTCAGTGAAAGGCCTGCAGCATATCTTAAATTTCCATGTTTCCACATTAAACAACATTGAATAAAAATTGCCCAATAAATACTGGCTATTTAATCCAAAATAAATAGGTGGCTATTTGAACATATTCAATTGCAAATTAAAATAGGTATTTGAAAAATCAAGAACAAGTGAAGTCAGGGAGGGGGGTAATTTAAATAGAATTAACTGCTGCGCTGAAATTTCTGCAGAAAGTTAAATGAAGAATCACTACTGACTATGAACCCCAGATGGTTTGTGTCTTCCCCTTGACCCAGAAATAGAATTTTTCCAACAAACTATTTTTCCAAAACAAACTATTGGGCAAAAATTATGGTGAAGATTCTAAAGAAAGGAGCTCAGTTTTTGTGGAAACAGGGCTGAACTGAGAGTTGTACTAGGTTCTGGCTCTTATTTTTTATCACTAAATCTTGGGAATCCAAGAAGGAAGTTGGTTGTTTTATTAATTACTCTACCCTTAGATTTAAAACAGTGCATAGCACAAACTAATCTCTGACTCAGGAAGGTGAAAATGGAGGAAAATAGGTAGGAGGGGCGGGGAATAATTATCTTTGTCTATGTGCATCTTTTACTGTATTTTTTAAAAAAGAAATTTAAAATTAATTTATTCTGTTCTAGTCTCTATAATATACTAGTTGCTGGATATGCTGAAATTAGTAAAATAGAAACCTTGCTCTTATGGCATTATGGTGATCAAAGTTAGGTGGGGAAATAAACAATTAGTAATGCCTAGTAATTGACAGTTACTGCAATTGCCTCTTACCTAGTTTCCTGGTTTCATCTTTTACTTCCCCACACCGCATTTTCCATACAGAAAATAGAATGATACTATAAGAATCAAACCCAATAGAACCACTTCCCTCCTTCAAACAACCCATGGCCTTGCCATTGCAATTTTTTTCAATTCCAAATTCTTTATCACTGCTTATAAATTCCTACATAATCTGACCCCTGCAGGTTTTGCTGACCTCATTCAGAGTCTCTGCACCAGAAACTACAGAAGCAGAGTCACAGAGGAATTTGCACTCCAGATTAAAAAAATAAGAAGAGCTGCCTGACGGACTCTAGAATAGCCAGGTATTTCCAAAAGGCATCTGTAAAATGGACTACTTAAAATAAACATTTAAATTAACATATTTAATGAAAAACTGTGAAAGAACTTAAAAGTCACTCTGATGGCCACAGTCCATACACATTTTCTTAGAGAATGCAGAGGGGTGACAAAGGGATCTGAGGATTCTGGGTACTTCCATGCATATTCATTATACACTCTAATTTATTACCATGTTTACCACCAAAACTGCAGAGCTAATTATATTCTGTATTAGGCCCCAAGTGAGTTTTTATCTGCCTGGCTTGGCCAACCACCAAAACAAAGCACATTAAAGAGAGGAATTGCAGTTGGTCGTTAAAATTTGATATGATGTAGAATATTGGTGTTCCTTAAAACAGACTGCTAACCCTTCCAATGAAAAATTAAATCTATTCTAGTCATTCTGCACTTGCAATCAGAAGCCCTGCACAGAGACGTTTCCCCTAGAAGACACAATGATTAAACAAACATGGAAAGAATTTTCTCACTGTGAATTCCTGCTAGGATGATTCCTTCTACCTTTCATTCCTCCAGTAAAAAAAAGATAAAAAACAGACCTCTCCCTGATTCCATTTTCTGTTTCTACTTCAGTGAAATTAGAATGGGATAAATTAAGAAATGGTGATGTCCTAAAATGCATCTTCCTCAAAAATAATTAGGCCAATATATTACAAGTGTGTTTTTCAGAATACAAATATGTCATAAGATATCCTAGAAGAAAAGCAGTACTCTATAGTCAAAAAAGTTTGCAAAATGCTACAAACACACTTCCCTCTTAGAATTTGACAGCATGCCTTAGCTTTAAGAAAGTCTCTTCAAAGTTCTACTGTAAAGAATCTTATTTAACTTTGCTTGACATAGCATTCTAAACTTGCTGAATACGTTTAGACTATTTTTCATATCATATTGATTGACAGTTGAAGTACAGACTGGAAACCTGACTGAAAAATTTGAGAAGGGGAAATATGGAATAATAGTCAAAAAAGTTCATGCTAAATTCTTAATCATGTACTCTCAAATTTAAAATACTGAGTTTATAACTAATACCAGACACTAATGCCATCGTGTGTGTAAATACCCAAAACGCCGATAATTTTGTCCTCACCTTCAGGATTATAAAGTTGTCACACCAGAGGAGGACCAAAAAAAGTTTGATATTAATTATTTTGAAAAGTACACATGCCCACAATTAATGGAAAGAATGCCACCTGTATCTACAGGGAAGGATCACTTACATCCTACCCGCTACATAGCATGGTCATACATAAGACATCGCAGGGCCCAACTGAGGAAACTCGGACTGAAAGACTTGAGTTATAGCAGAGGAACATTGATACTCAGTTTGTTCATAATTAATAGATTATGCAAATTCCATTCTCCCTACCTTAATACCCTACTTCCAACTTACTTACTGAACAATGCTGACTTGCTTAATATATTTGGGCATTTAAGATGACCTTTAAAGAGCTATAGTAGAAGAGTGACTGGATGCTATGCTCTGTGCACACAGTACATCTATGGCCCTCCCAAGCCTCTATAGTACAAATACCACTCGAGCATGTGCCTCAAAAGTAGGGAAGCCTACAAATGTTAAATTTTCAAATTTTAAGGGTCTAATGCTTTTAGTAAAATACAAAATTTCCAAGTACTCAGACTATTTCAAAGATATTTCTTCATGGGTGAAATGAATCCATTCCAATAGATTACTGCAAAAATATCAAGCACAGGAAGAAACAGATTCTCTGATTTCACAAATGAGGTCACAGGATTGTGAAAATGCAGGGGGCCACATAAACAGTTTGACAAGAGTGGTCTTTAAATTGTGCTGCATGGAGTAGCCTCAGGCAGCTAGTGTCCTAGAAGAGGGAGTAGGGGTGGTGAGCAGTGAGAGTTCAAGCCTCTTACCCTCATTTTAGAGAGGGCCCCCCCGCTTTTTAATCTTTTTCATATAAGGAGATTTTATGTGCAATTAAAACAGTTAAAAGAAAGTTTCACATTGTAAATCAACTATACTCCACTAAAAATTTTAAAAATAAATAAATAAAAGAGAAAGTTTCTATAGCACTGATATATTTTCCAACCAGTGGTTCCAACTGTTTAACAGATGAGGAAAATAAATTCAAGTGAAACAAAGATCTTTGCAAGGAGATAAGAATAGCTCACTGAATTGTCAGGTGACATGGCCATGGCATCTGCCATCCAGTTGATCATTGTATGTCAGTATCATATCTTCATTGTTCCATATAGATCTCTAGAGAATCTTTCCTTATGGTAGAACCAAGGCTGTAACTGACACCTCTCCTGAACTTCAAGCTTGTGAGTTATTTCCTACTACTTCTTTTTTTTTTTTTGGTACGGGGGCCTCTCACCGTTGTGGCCTCTCCCGTTTTGGAGCACAGGCTCTGGACGCGCAGGCTCAGTGGCCATGGCTCACGGGCCCAGCCGCTCCGCGGCATGTGCGATCTTCCCGGACCGGGGCACGAACCCGCGTCCCCTGCATCAGCAGGCGCCACCCATCAACCACTGTGCCACCAGGGAAGCCCCCCACTACTTCTTAACTAAGGTTTTGAGAGATTTTTCAGAAGTGACGTAGAAATTCCATCAGGGTTTGGAGAGGTTGCACCATTAGCTGTTTCTGCTTGTGGGTGAATCCTTTATTTTCCCATCATAACACACTCTTAAAATATCCCAATTCCATGAAAGATAGCCAAAATTCAATGTAACCAATGATCTCAGACCCTGAAACAGAAAGTGATTCCCTCTTTCTGGAATGAAGAGACCAGATGAGGTGTTCTGTATTTTAAAAAAAATCAGAACTACTGTGTCTACAAGAGATTTAATACGCTTCTGCTCTTCCGACTAACTGCATCTCAGAAAAGCACAGAACTTTGAAGATTAAGATGACATGAACTGAATAGGAAAGGAGAAGATAGAGTGTTACTTTCAAAAGAGCAATAGTAAATTTCTCTCTTCTGAGTCCTTAGAATTTTGCAAGCTTGACCTTCTTTTCCCTGTTGACACCCATTTATTTTACTCTTCTCAGGTTAGACATGAATGCAGAGAAAGCATACAAAATTTAAAGGCTGTTACCTTTAGAGGCTCCAATATTCCTTCATTATGGGGCAGGGAAAAGGTGCCCACTTAAGAGAAACTTCTGTGCAAAATATGGTGGTGAAGGCAGCAAGCAACATAGAATTAGTATTTGTTGTGTGATGGCTGAACTCACCCAAGAACCATGAATAATACAAAGAGAGAGACATATTGAGAGGAGGAGAGAGAGAGAGAGACAGAGAGAAGTTGGGGGGTGGGATTCAGGGATAAGAATTAGGTTGTTCATCTTCACCTTGTAATTATCTGTCTTTCTGACTAATAATTTGGGAATAAGAAGAAAGAGGCAGAAAATAAATTGTACCTTATCCTTCACAGAGCCATTATAAGCAAAAATGTGGGTCTAAATTATATCTCCGAAAATGTACTCTGTGAAACAAAGCTGAAAAATGTGAATATATAGATAGTTGTGTCATTTGCTTTGTAAGATACAAACTTCAGAATTTCCCATGTGCACAATTTAAATATATATTGTCCTAAAAGTGATCATAATCTACGTAAATAGTGACTCAAAGACACCATTCATATTGTTAATTCTTCCAAAGTTTTGTATATATCAAGAGGGCATTCTCAGACATAGACATTGCAAGATTCAGTGACACTAATGATGTATTTTTGTCCTTCCAGAGTAATGTGGTTGTTGGTTTTTTT